AGAATTATCATCTCCAAAGACATACTAAACCTTCACAGAATTGTGGTAGAGCCCTAAAGTCAGTCCTAGAAACAAACACCTTTATTGATCCTAAAAGCACACTGCTGCTTTTTAAAAACATTATACTTAACTTCTACCCTTTGGGTCTAATACCTCTAGACCATTACTTATAAACAATGCAAAGTGTGGTGGCCACCAAAATTCCAGATTCAGAGCAAAAAGTGACTGGCGGTACAATCATATTCACTAGCTTCAAAGTAATTTCTCCCTTCACAGTGTTAATTCCCTTAACTTTCGGCAAATGGTTGGAAGTGACAGTCGAGTCAATAGATATGGAAAAACTTCAAGAATACTTTGTGATATTCATCATCATGGAGATACCTGAGGCAATAAAGTGGAAGTCCTGGACCTTTATTAAAGCGCCAGATAGAACACAGTAGAGCTGATGTATTCACTGAATTTAGAATAACATGGTTCTTTGGAGGAATGATTTTGGTTTGTTGTTATAACACATTGTTATAAACTTAGACTTTCTTATTAATCTGATGAACCTGAGCTCTGGAGGCACGGACAGAGAGGGAGTCAAAAGGGGACAGGAAACTAAAGGAGATGCTTAGACCCTCAAGCACAAGCAACATGCTTTAAGTACTCGAGCCTAGGGCACCCAACCTTAGTCTCAGGACATATTTATACAGAACCCACATTAAAGTGGCATTTTGCCAAAAGTAATTATATAACAGATTACATCATTGTTTACTTTTGGGTTCCCCAGGCTTCTAGTGTTAGCCAGTTTGTGCCGACTCATATCCCTGCACACCCCCACACACACCCTCACCCCCATATCCAGCACTAGTAATCTTAGCCAGTACTGGATATCTATATTATTCCCATGTTAGGTAAGCATGAACTGGAACTGGGCTCTACAGCCCTCTGCTCCCTATAATGGGGGCTCTTAATGAAATGGAATCAATGAGTTTATTGGGTCTATATATGAGGAAATTTGATGACTCCTAAATAATTACACCATCATAGAGTCTTGCCCTAGCGTGAATGATGGTTTCCCCACAGCAGCACAAATAGAGATCCCCTTTTAGTTAACCTTCCACACTTTATATACTCTATCACCTTCCAAGTCTCTGAGATCTCAGGAATGGCACATAGGTGGGAGAGAAGTATACAAGTGAGGGTCTAATGCACATCCTCACAACCCTTCCTCTAGGCGGGAACATCAACAAGCCTAACCATGAGGGTCTGTTGCAAGCAGTCACAGCTGTTCTCATGATGATGGTAATGACAGTTATGCTCTGAGAACTTGTGTTCTACAAACCATAAGGGAAGTTTACGGACAGAGGAACAACGATATGCTAAATGTTTTAACAAAAGGGAGCAAGGGAATTTCAATACAAGGCCTTTGGGGTCTCTTTTTCAGCTACAAGATTTTCTTTGGCTCTTTTTTTTTTATTGTCATAGTTCTCTAGCATTTCTGTTCTGCAAACTGGTCCTACCAAGCAAGGCTGGAGCACAAGTTTGTAGTACAACCTCAATGCACTTTGGGTACCCAAATGTAAGGTTACTCGACCTGATGCGAATCAAAGCTATTTGTAGTATATGTGGGAACTTTTTTTTGCCTGCTGACACTGTTTGATGTAGTTCAGCCTTGCCCATTAGAAGCTCTGCATGAAGAGGAGCTATGATCTTAAAATATCCTACCTAGCTCAGCCCTATAGGCAGGCAATGTCTATGTGTGGGGGGGGGGTCTTCCAGGAAAGAGATCAAGCTATGCTATTTCAACAACTAGAAATACCGATTAAAGTTGAGTGGAACACATTCTAGGATAGTCATGGATGATCAGGGTTGTGAGAGGATAAAAAGAAAACCTGGTAGGATATTTTCAGCAAAACAATAATGCAAATTAAATGTTTCTACTTAGTACTTATAGAACATTCAATAGGTACATTACTACACATACAAGGCAATGCATATGTTCCACATAATTGAAACATTACACTGTAGCCTGATGAAGCCTTTGGGGTAGCAGTATGAAAGACAGGAATTAAAATGGTCCGTTTGGGGGTTCTTTAGGTCCATCTGATTTGGGGGTCATGCAAAAATATCTTGATGCTATTCATCTTTTAATCTTTACATTGAAAATTTACATAAATTTGTAGCATATGGAAATTGTCCTTAAATTAATCGAATTATATTAACATACCTGGCAGAAATTGATGTCTTTCAGTTGTAGGTCTGGGTGTGGCTTTGGGCTAGTTATCAGCTGGATGTTATCTTGGGCTCCTACAGGCCACCTGAAGCTTATTTCTACTCTGGCTTTCCCCATCATGGTGCTTATCTCATCCATTCAGCAGGGAGAATCCCTACTGCTAGAAAGCACACACTGAAACCGAGTTTTATGTGTCATGATAGGTATAGCACCCCTCACTTTTCTGTATTCCATTTTTAGGAAGCACCCACATCTACTTCACAAGGAGGTATTGAACAAAAGCACAAGCACTGGGCTGGAATTCAGAGGAAATTAAACATAAAATTCTTCTTCTCCAAGGTGTCTCCAATGGTATTGATGCTTTATTGACATCTAAAAGTCCAAAGTATCATTATATACATCTATTCATGTATGAAAGAAACTCATAGGGTGTACATAGGAGTTCCTACAGCTCAGTTGCCTTTAATCTGTGTGCTTGTGAAACTAAAAAGACAATTTTATACTCCAGACATATCCAATATTAAGTGGTAGGATAGTCACAATGTAAAAGCTATCAACACTTTGGTTTAAAAAGAAGATCAGTCAGGCATGGTGGCACCTATCTGTAGTGCAGACAGTGAGAGGCAGGAGCATAAGCATTTCTGCAAGCTGGAGACTAGCCTGGTCTAGAGAGTAAGTTCCAGGCCAGTACAGCTGCATATCAAAACTCTTTCTCTAAAGAATAAAGGAGGGGGAAAAGAAAACAGGAGGCTCTAAAATCTCGCCAGACAATTAAGAGTTCTTGTTTGGGTTTCAAGACCATCTCCGTCACTCCTCTTTTACATAGTTTTGAAATTCAGCTCTGCTTTGGGTTTTCATGAATGTCATCACTGAGAACCAGAAACTGGAAACTTCCTTGGTTCTTAATCCTTGCCATGTCAGAAGAAACCCTGTCTTACTTTGGAGTCACGGGAAGACCCCAAAAGGGCTTCATTTGACCCAGTTAGTTGATCCTTATATTAGATTCTATGGCTAAGATGGTATGTATCCTTAGACAAGGAACTAGCTCTAGGATTAAGCTTAGGATCACTCTTACTGGAACTAAATGAACTTTAAAAGTTTACCCTATGCCCAGTAAAATGTTTGATTGTGTAATGAAGAAAATGTTGTGGCTCTGTGTTATGAAGGAGAGATTTTTCAGATCTAGATTCAAGCAACCAAGATATTATTTAGATGCAATTAGTATTCTACTTTCTGCTGAATCCCCTCCATTCCAACTCCTTCATTCATAAGAATTAGTACTCTCATTCATCTCACAATCTGCAAAATATAGATGTAATCCCACCAACTTCCTGTCTGAAAGAGTAAGACAAATCAGCATCCCTATTAGAGAAGTAGTCAATGCAGGGAATTAATTTGATGAGGATAAATATCCTACTCAACCAGACAGTCAACTTTAGATATTCAAAACAAGACAGCTGCAGCGTGAGCCCAGAGGTAAGACTGTCGCATCCCTCTACACAACAACACAAGATGTGTGGAGAACCAGTAAGGGGAGAAATGCTGAGAATCCCAGCCAGAGCAGAAACTGTCCCCTCAGCTTCGCTTGGTAGCGGTTCCATTCCCCTAAGAAACTCATCAGCTGGTTAGTGCTCACATTTATTACGAAGCTGATCTATGATCTGTGAGTTCAAGGCCAGCCTAGTCTACATAGAAAGTTCTAGATCAGTTTGAGATACACTGACCCTGTGTCCAAAGAACTAAAAGATAAAGGAAAAGAAAAGAAAACTGGTTGTTTCCCTTACAAAAATCTGTGTGAACAGGTTGGAAAGCAAATGGTTACATAGTTCATACAAATATGAGTATCTTTGAGGTTAAACTCTCCTGGAAAATCCCCCTTGGAAATTGCCTGGCCATCAACATCTTTGAAGTTACAGATGGAGCATGCAGGAGCTTAGATTTCTTGAAGGAAAGGGTACTCATTGTTTCTCTTATCTACACCTTTCAGCCTGGTTAGCTAATTTTTGATGTTTTGAGTCCACCAGAAATTTCACCTCCTTAGAGACGCTTTCCCTGGACCATCCATCCTCTGAGTCTGTTCTTTCCTTTTTTTTTTTTTCAGTATGTAAAACTTTTTGAACTACATTGCAGTTCACGCTTACGGTATTGTTAATCTCCTTGTTTTCTAAAACTTTCTCTGACCACGCATAAAGCTCCATGATGAAGGAATGACTTCCTCTTTATCATCACATCCCTTAGTACTCAACACAGTGTCTAGTATGTAGTAACCATGAATGAATATTGGATGCACCAATGGGAAGAACACCTAATTCAAGTGGGTAAGACCTTGCTATTATTAATAGAGTTTCTACAAGGATTAATTTTTTTCTATAATCACATGGGGTGAAAGAAACTGGTTTTTTTTATATGAAGCCTACAAACAAGTAAACATGAATTGACTATATTATTTGATAACTTCAATATCATAAGCTCTAAATACTAAAGATTTTTCCTAGGCCACTTAGACTTTTCTCATTTTAAGTTATCTTCTATAATAGAACTGCTTTCACCTGAAAAAATCAATGTTATCAAAAGGATAAAATAAAAATGTTTAATTCCCTTTCAAACCTGTGTTAAATTCAAAACAAATCAATAAAACATTTTTCAAAGCCAAAAGAGACCCATGTTACATTTAGAAGGCAAGTCATTGCATAGAAATATAACCTACACATTACTTAATTTTAAAAAACAAATGAAAGTTTTATTCTGTGGTTATAATGAAGTCTTCTTTACAGCCCAAGACAAAAACAATGTAATGGAACAATAAAGGACATTTTGTTGTTGTTTTGTTTGCTTTATTTTGTATAGTCTTCATATACCAGTAAAAATAAACTCTTTAATAAATAAATATATATAATAAATATTTATAAATTGAAAAACATATAAATAGGTCCATTCTTCTAAAAGAAATGTTCCATCCTGGTGTGGCATGTTTTGTAGCTCAAAGTCATCTAGAATTTTGATTTTTGTTTTTTTTTTATCTATAATGTTATAACCTGTAGATTTCTACAAGGTCCTCAGAATTTATGAGGCGGTAATTATGTCATCTTGATACACTTCTTCAACATGAAGTATCTATTCTCAAGGTAAATGTCCAAAGTAAACATTATCCATAGAGGTGATGCATCAGCAGCAAGATTCACATTATCCACAGATTAACTGATTTCAGCTTCAGTCAGCTGGTAAGACTGGGCCAATGAGTCTGAGGAAATATAATCCATTTATGAGGAATGATCTTGCTTTGCTTCAAGTTAATTCCTTATTCTCAATATTCTTCACAAATACAGTCTCTCAGTGAAAAACAGACTTTGTAATATTGTGAACATCTTCAGTGTTATTTAACAGAAACTGTGACTTAAAAATAATGGCTCCAGGTTCATCAAGTGTACATCAGTAAGTCTTTGTATAGTTCTGGAACTCTTTCTGGGTCCACTGGTCTCGGTAAGAAATGAGTAAATTTTTGATGTCTTTTGGATCTGGCACCATCTCTTGGAGTTCCATCTTTGTTAAGTGCTACAAAATACCTGCGTCCAGTGTCTCCATGCTTATATATGTTGGATGAATAGGTATTATACCAGTTCTCTTCAAATTGCTCCCTGAAGATGCATTCCGAAGTCAATTTCTCCTTGTTAAAAAAAAGAAAGAAAGCGTTTTAGAAATGCCTTCAAAATAAATTCTCTATAAAAGTCTCAACTCTATAGTATGTCTTTGCTTATAGCTATATCCTTGTCAAGTTAAATTACAATGTTTTATTTTGATTTTGTTCATACATCATGTGCAATTCGTTCCTCTACTTCACTTTATCCAGTAGTTCAAGGAACTTTATACCAAATATTCCAACTTTTGATTTTATTTTCAAACATGCAATAAATATTTTGAGCTTTCCTGTGTTCTGTATTATCTCCTTCCTGCCCCCATCACTAAGTGGGTCTGTAATTTATCTTGTCTCATCATGAGCTAGATACCAAAGGCAGGAACATTAAATCTCTGCTACCAAATTGGAAAACTCAAAACCTTGCTACAATTTAAATTCCTAACTCGAGTTCATGACTTCAAATCAGATATCATCTTATAAATGTATTATTCAATGATTAAATTTCCCATGGTTAGCTTCTGAGTATGCTACTATTAATATCAAGGAAAATGAAGTAGAACTTTAATGGTTTATTTTATTTTCAAAATTTCTCTCTCTCTCTCTCTCTCTCTCTCTCTCTCTCTCTCTCTCTCTCTCTCTCTCTCTGTGTGTGTGTGTGTGTATGTGTGTGTGTGTTCATATATACATATATTTTAAAGATGAGACCTCAATTGTTTATTTATTTCAACACATACCATGAACACTGTGCATGTACTTTCTCAAAGTTCTATCAATTGTTTTTTAATTCTATCTTCAGATCACCATACATTACAATCTTTCTTTCTTTGTTTGTTTTTCCAGAGCTGACACCTAATTTTCTATTTCTGGTAGGAATGATCAAAATATAGAGGAATTGGAAAGACTCAGGACAATGGACAGGAAGACCAGGTGAGATTATGGCAATAATGGTTGAAAACTTAAAAAGTAACATTGAAAGACTATACTCGGACTTCAACACACTTAAATATAGGATATTAGTTTCTAATTTTTATACAAGTATGTAGACATACATAATTAATGTCAGTCACATATAATAATGCTTACCATTCATTATAGATAGACACGTTAATTAAAATCATAATTTTAAGAATTGTAATAATAATCAAAAATGATTATACATACTGATCCATAGAGTTCTCCTTTGTCATTCATTCCAAGGTAAAGACCACTGTCCACGCCTCTGATGCTGACCAGTCCCACTGCCACACTGATGAATTCCAGGATACCTGAATTTTTAAACAAATTAAAGATTTGGATTGATTAATGAACATATAGCTACAGGAAGGACAGTGACAAAGATCAGCACTTTTAAGCATTCATTCCACAAATAAATGGAAGCTACTGACATCATGGATGAATAGAGTGACAGAGTTACTTCTGGTCTTCCACGGTTCTACCAGTTAATTATAACTGTTTTCCATGAATTATTTTTATCTCATTTACAAGAATCAGACCAATCTCTTATAGTTCATATGGGTATAACATTATTTCAAAGCTTCTAAAAAGCTTCTTCTGGGTTGGAAAGATGGTTCCTCAACTAAGAGTACTTGTGGCTTGTGTTGATTTTTTTTCTTATCAAGTTGACACAAGCTAGAGTCGCCTCAGAGGAGGGATCTCAATGGAGAAAAAGCGTCTAATCAGGTTGGCCTGTGGGCAAAGCCATGATAATTTTCTTGGCTGATGACTGATATGGAAGGGCCCAGCCCAATATGGATAGTTCATTCCCTGGGCAGGTGGTCCTGGATGCCATCAGAAATCAAACTTAGTAAGCTATAAGAAGCAAGCCAGTAAACAACATTCCTTCCTCCAGGCTCCTGACCTGACTTCCTTCACTAGTGACCTGGGAATTGCAAATGAAATGCATCTTTTCTTTCCCCAAGTTCCTTTTGGTTCCTGTTTTATAATAACCATGGAAAACCTAAGACATTGTTCTTGCAGAGGACCCAGGTTTGGTTCCCAGCACCCAAATGGCAGAGAACAACCAGCTACAGCTGGTTTCCAGATTTCCAGAGGATCTGATGCCCTCTCTGGCTTCTGTAGGCACTGCAGTACACATGTGGTACACAGGCATATATGTGGACAAAACACACATGCACATAGAATAAAATTTTTAAAAATAAAGAGCTAATAATTAATTTTTACCTCAACTTCAAAAACTCTCTGATAATAAGGGAGGAAGATACTTTTATTCCCGTGTTAGATAGAAAGAAACTGAGGCTCAAAAATATTGACTGGAATGCCTTTGTAACACGACCATGGGATATGACCTTTGTAACTGATAAAAACGGTGCTTGAACTTACATTTTCTGAACCGTAACCTAATGATTCTAAGACAACATGTGAGGGTACAATAGTTTCTAGACTTTGTAGATTACAAAAAATGTGCTATATCCTATTCCATGATATATAAAAATAAAATGTTCAGTTCAGAGAAATAATAAGGCTTCATAATTCATTTTATATGATAGCCAGATACCAAGAGTTTAGCATATAAATGGATTTTTCTATGCATAATTTTCTGGAATTATTTTGATGTATGAAGAGATAAACTAATTTTAAAAGTTCTGAACTTAATACATTAACAAACTACAGTTTAAAAAGACAGTGTATCTCTGTGTGATACCCTTTTTTTGCTGTACACACAAACCTTTGGACCAATGTCACCTTTTTCTGGTCCTTTCCTTAGACTGCTGAACAAGTGTCACCCTATGTACTGTGCTTGGACCTCCCTTCCTTAATAGCTTTTTGTCTTTATCCTATCCTAAGCTTTACAAATAGCATAAATGTGTACCATTTAGGCCGACTCTTGCTCTTAAATCATTTCTTGATTTATTGTACAAGTTCCTGTTTGGACACATGATACTCCCAAAGCCAAGAGAAAGTACAGAATCTGACTGTTTGCTGATATGGAAAGCTCTATTCTACACAGAGATTATTAATTTGCTCTTTGGCCAAAAAAAAATGCACAGCATAGATTCTTAGTAAGACAGATGAGCTCTTTGGAACTATTAAGACTTTCATACTAGTAGAACTCTAGACTATCAGGGGTCTTACAGCACAATGCACTACTACATACCCTGTAAATTGTTTGAAAGAGCCAGTCTCCCTGATTGAGAGGCTGAAGCAGGGAAGACAGGATGCAGCAGGAAGATCTAGACTCCACAGGACACCAGCACAATGCAGCTGTGGACTGAGGGGTAGTGGAGGAAAATCACACTCCCTGCCAAGCTCCTTAGTGAAAGTTCCATGTTAGGAACAAAAATATAAACCTGAACCATAATTGGCATAAATGTATATAAATGGAATCTCACCCAGGATATAATTATAAATGTATAATTACTTTAAATTATATTGAATATTCACTCAAATTAAAAACTATGTGTGGCTGTTGTGTACCCAATGTTTCTACCCCAGGACACACTCCACCTACACATTAAATCTTATCTTAAGATAATGCTGTCCAAAATATGTAATTACATAAGTAAAAATGATTACATGTCTTTAGAATAATTATATCCAATAGTTTTAGCTTTATTAAACAACATGTAAAACCTTATACATAACCAGGCATAAATGATTTTGCAAAGGCTCATGGAACTGATGGGGAAAAGATTACGTGTGTTTTTGTGCCACTCCTAAAGATTTTAGCCACACTTTTAAATTCTGATCCTTTTTCTCACCAAAGAAATAGTATACCACATAGTAATTTGTAATCGTTTGATTCTTAAATGAGATGTGACAAGTCTTTCTTATTTATAATATGAGGTGGCAACTAAGCTAATTCTCTTCCAAAGAATAGACGTGAAGCACTTTCCTTAAGAGGTAATCACAGATTTTAGGTAGATTTTCTAATGCCCAGTGTCCCATAAAAAGACTTGGAGGTCCTTTGTCTTTCTGGTATCATTTTCAAAGCCAGCCTTTTCTCAAATCATAATAAACAGGTGAGTCAACCCACAATGCAACCACATCAGACAAATCTATGGAGAACAGAGGAGAATAAAGGAAAAGGCTTTAAATGAATATGTTTGATCTCAGGCTACACTTTTTTCTAAAGGAATGATTCTATGTTTACGTGTTAGGTAAAGTCTTCCTTCTATACTACTGTGCATAAAAACTCTGCTAGAGAGATCCAGGTAGCTCGGGTGGGATATTATTTTAGTCTCACTGAGAACTCTCTGTTTATGTTCAGTAGATATAGTTTTAAATTTTTAAAAATGTGAGTTTTTATTTGTTGTGTTCAAATTATCATAAAACTATTTTAGTGGTATTTAACATCTTAAGTAGCCATCATTGAGGTTTTTTTCAAAATTCTTATTTTAACATCACAGAAGTGAGTTTTTTTAATGGATATAATTTAATGCTTAGTTATTAAGGCACTAGCAAAAGAGGATGGAGAAGCACACCACATTGCATACATTAAATATGACCTTGTCCCCTATCCTCTGGCAGTCAGTTGTGATATCTAGGCCACTCGGAGCACTTTAAGTTATCATAAAGAGGCTGTTCCTTTAGGCTCACATACGAATATGGGTTGTCTTCCCTTTACATAATAGTGATTATTTTATTCCTCTATATAATCTACCACCAAAGTGTGACTTAAGCCAACACAGAATCAAAGTCATATTTTTCCTAAACAATCATACAACATATAAGCTTTATGGTATCCTAATAAGAATATGCCACACCCATTCCTAAAGGATCAGATTTCAATGCAGCTCAAGGAAGGTTACCAAGTCTGGGAGTATTCATTAATCTATTCCAACAGAATCTGTCTTCTAAGGAGACAGAACACAGCCGAAGAAAAGGTAACAATTACATTACAAGTGGCTTATAGGAAGAATTTCCTTACTCCATTGGTATGGGGGGGGGGGAAGTCGGATATTGCTTACACTGAACTCTCAGCTGCTTTGCCCGAAAGAGTTAGCACATTTGAGGAGATTCTTATGTAAGGAGTGGGCTACAGTCATTCCACAGTCAGTCAGTGGGCCACCTGGGCAGCAAATTCTTCGCTGTCAGCCTCCTCCATTTAAAAAACACTTTCCAAAAGTGACCCCAGGTTGGCCACTAGGTCATGACACTCTTGACTCACAGTCAGTGGGAATTTGGAAGAGATCAGTGGAAGCTGCAAGCACGTGGGTTTTTAAAAGTCAAGTTTTCTAAGCCCTTAAGTGCTGCCAAATGACCACCACATGCTTATTCTCCCATCTAAGGTTACAAATGCTCCTGAAGCGGAGATTTACACTCTCCAAAGTTTTAATGAGCACTGCAAGTGCGAAAAGAAATGGGAGTGTAAGGCTACGATGCGGATGAGACAAGAAAGAGGACACCGAGATGATATACTCTAGAAATTCCATAGTGGGGGGGGGGGAGGAGCTGTGTAGGGCTTCCTCATGCTGGCGACAAATAAATAATATTATGTATATATTTTTTAATATAATAACATCCTCCAATGACATCACAGGTTAGATAAGGAAAGTCCCTTGAGCAAGTTAGCAGGTTAACTGATGAGGAAAAAAAAAAAAGTAGCCACGGGGGAAGTATCCCGGGATATCAGAACCAAAAGGCACCTTTAGCAAACCATGGGATTTAACCTATCTTCTCTGTTGTGCAGGCAAGGAAGCAGGACTCACATTGAGGAGGGCGCTTGCTAGCTACCTGGCTGGCCCTGGAGTAATGAACAGTAGAAACTTGACTGATCTAATCTAGAATCGGCTTCATCCTATTAACCCCTTCTGCTCCCAGGTACTGCTGGCTGTATGTCGAAACGATTCTCTGTGTTCCCAGCCGTATCTTCTTTCTCTTTCCCATTTCCTCTTACCTAAGGTCAATACCAAGATCTCTGCTTTCGAGTTTCGCAATTTCTAAAGGGAATCTTGGCCAGGTGGGCATGCTCCGTCGGTCCTTCTCCCTCCTCCCTCTCTCCATCTCCCTCCACCCCCCACCCCCTAGCCAGGAGCTCAGAAAACTGCAGCCAGGCAGTCCTCCAAGTAGAACTGTGAAGAGTCACATCCTGTTTAAGAACATCCCTTCAGAGTGAGAAACCGGAGGATTAGCCGCATAACTGCGGGGCATGCTTTAAGATACGGGATGCTTCCCGTTATTAATTTCCAAAAAGTGGACACGGAATTACAAGTGTGTAAGGAAGAAAACACGATATAGGTACCTCTTAAAATAATAAAACTGCCTGAGTAGCAAGGACTGCAGGGTAAGGCTGGGGGCGGGTGGGGTGGGGTAAAAACATGGTTCCTAGTCCAAGACTTGGGGCTCCAGGCAGTAGAGAAAACAGAGCAGCATCTTGGCCCCGGGTGAGGAAGCCACCCACGCCTTCTCCTCCCACGCCCTGTATGAGGAGCTTGCGCTCCTCCAGGGCAGGACAATTGCTCCCATGCCCAGAGCCCGGCACCTCGCACCCAATGGGTCTAGGGTCTCAGGCAAGCCCTTGCTCATTCCGCCAGCGTGGAGGGAGAGAGGTGAGAAGAAGAGGAAGGGAGTTGAGGGTACAAGGGCAGGGCGGGATGCTTGTACCTACCGAAGAGGCTGTGATCCTGCCGGGTGCCCTGCACGCTGCCGTCGGGCAGGATCTGCAGGTGGAAGCCGGTGCGGCAGTAAAGCTGCCGCCGGCGCAGGATACCGTGCAGGTGCGCCAGCTCCACCGAACCCGGCCCGCCGCCTCGGGCACCCCGCTCCAGCGCGCCCCGCCGCTCGCCTAGGAGTGGCGGCCGCTCCCCTGCAGGAGGCAGCAAAAAGTGCGACCCCACCTGCTGGCCCAAGCCCTCCAGGCCGCCCAAGAAGGCTCCGACTTCGGTTAAGGGAGCCATGGAGGGGTCCGGACTGAAAGGTTGAAATTCCGGAAAACAAAAAAGTGTGGCAAGGGTGGCGAGGCTAATGCAGAAAAATTATAGCAAAATAGGCACAAAAGGTTAAGGCTGGGTTACTCCTGTGAGGTCTCTCTGCAGGGGCAGTGCGCTGCACTGTCTTGGAAGCGATCTTCTCTCCTTGGGTAGGTGAGAGCTGGCTGCTGGCTTTGCAGAAACATCTAGGGCTGAGGCTGCTGATTTGAGGCTGGGGCTGGGGGCTGGGGCTCCAGCTCAGCAAACTGATCAGATCAGAGTCCTGTGTACATACACTCCCGGTATATATGCGGGTCCTCTTGACATATGCTAATCAAGTCCTTTCATGCGCGCCTGGGAGGTTGGTTTTGTTTGAAATCTTAAACCAGCCTCCTCTCAACACGTTTTTTGCTCTTCGGAAGTGACTAAACCGAGCACTTGGAAAACTCCTTTCTTGCGCTTGGCCAGAGTCAGTCAGCCAGCAAATTCGGGGAGGCTCAGCCGTACACCCCTGGTACTCTGGGTTGTCTCTGGGACAACCAGGGTGTTGTCTGGCTGCTTCTGGACAACCCACCTTTGATGTGAGTTCATTTGCAGAGATAGGGAGCTGGGGGGAAGGAGCCCAGCTTGCAGGATGCAGAAGGGGGAGGGGGTACAGAACCGGAGATGGGTGGGAGGAGGGAAAAGAGAGTACAAGAGAATTGGACTCCTTGGGAGCTGCTGGGAACCTGCAGTGGACAGGTGCAAAGAAAAGCAAGGAGGGAGAAGGGGAAGGGAAGGGGCGTTTCCCGAGGCTTAGGCCTGCCCAGACACACATGAAAGGAAAATCAAAGCTTTGACAGTTTAACTCACTAATTTTAAAACACTAATAAAATGTACAAGCATTACTCTTTTCTTTTATCATTTAGATGGGGGATTTTCTTTACATAATCAAGCTTAGGTTGGGAACACCCTGCCCCCCCCCACCTTCTCAAGTTCTCTTTAATGTTTATCTTAACTCAGCAAATGATATAACCAGGATTGCCTTCTATCTATATGGAACTCATAAGTGGTGTGTGGAGGTCCTGGGCTTCTCATTAGAATAATAAAACAGCGCAGTATAATCGGGGATCGAGGGATTGCGAGTACATTCAAATAGGCTGGTTCACATTCCTATGGTTTGCCGTGAATACAAAACAAATGTCAGGAATAGTGTCAGACGCCTTTGGACCCTTATCCAGTCTAAGAGCACTTCCTTTTCCTTAGTGACAATTTCCTAGAAGCTAGCTTTTCTTTCTTTTTTAATTCACACTTCAAGTATACAACTAAACAGAAATAATATTGGTTCTTGATGAGTGTCTGAGATTTCAAGAATTATTGGTCAAATTTAAGAATACCTAAACATATTTGCAAAACAAAAATTGACCTGAAGGAGTTAGACATATATCAACATATATCTTAAATGTTAAAACTGTATGACTAAGCTAGCCTCGAGAGCCAGCTACTGAAATCTTCAAGTGGCAGAAAAATGCAGAATTGCTGGTCAGATTTATTCTTTCCCTATGCAGAGACTTGTAAAGCATAGCTAGTATTAGAATTTCAGTCTTGTTTTGTGCTTTATTCAGCAAAAGCCTAACTTTGGGAGCTCAGATGGATTTGACTGGGTTTATTTTATTTTCGCTAAATGTCTCCCCCTCCTCCTCCTCTTCTCCTTCTCTCCCTCCTCCTTCCCTTCATCCTCCCTCTCCTTTGGATAATTAATTGGCAGGTGCTCTAAAGGAGGTAAAGTGACACTTTTTTGTCACTCCAGGCCTAACTACTGACCCTTGTGGAACCAGGTTATAAAAGAGTCCTTAAAGCAAGTGATTTACTGTTGATAGACACAAAATAAAACAAAAGCCCAGGCTATAAACAGCAAGCAGATCAATTACTTTAGAAACATATATTGATAAGTGTCTTTTAAGGTTGCACCAGGTAAATGTCGTGTTATTTTACCTTTCCAATAACAGCAGCCTGTTTTGTGGTGGGACCCCCAAATCCACCATAATCAAGATTTCAAAGCACATCTGTGTAAACATTATCACATCAGTGTAAAGCATCAGCCAATGGGCTTTTACTTTGAACCAAATCTTCTTAATTGCAGTGTTAAATCAAAGAAAGTTAGATCAAAGTTGTGTGAATCTCATAGCAGGATAATTCAGGTAGCCAGAACATACATTGATCACATTTAAAGAGGGGATGCTTAAAGGTTTTAGACTGAGATCAAGTGCCTTTTAATGAGGTTTGTTTCAAGAACTAAGTTCTATGCAACATATAACAGTTAATATTCCACAATGAATATATTATTGCCACTCGCTTCTAGAAGTATTCATTTAGTATGTATTTCCTCACATGAAAACTTTCAGTCATGGTGTTCAATTTGTAGCTATTAGAATTCTTAAATTTCTTGTATTACACACACACACACACACACACACACACACACACAACTTTTCAAGCATAGTCACCAAAGCCCAAATAATGTAATAACAGACCTTCTTTGTCTTTGTATGACTTAGCATTTTTGTGTATTTTCTATCACAACAATAACCCAAAAGAGAGCTAAGTATAACCAGGTTATTACGGGAGAGAGTCCTATATTCTGTTGGGTTTTAGTTCAGAGTCTAACATCATTTATTGGGAGAATAAAGACAGCCCCACTCCGTAGTTCCCTGTATCCAAGGTTGCTATGAGACATCAATGTGAAAATACACATTGGAACGAGGTTTTAAAACTATAAAGTGTCCTCTGTGTATAAAGTCCTGCACAACTTCAGTTGCTGAGCAGGATTTTTTATTTTTTTACTTTATAATTCAGCAAATGCAATTTGTCTGAAATGTAAAATACACTTTTTTTAACCCACAACCAAAGCTTTAATGTGCAAGTTTGAAATGGTACTTAATGCTATTTTATAAAAGACCAGAATAGAAACAAAAAGATAAGGATTTCTTTTGTTTGCTCTAGTCATGTGACGGGAAAAGATAACGTTAAAGGGTTTTTTTGCACATGGTGTGATGATATCATGGGAAGTTAAATAATTTTGAAGAGTGTTTTACAAGAGTACATTATTCAAAGTTTAAGTATACACTGCAATCTAATCAACTTTACCTATGCTTCCTAGAGACCCCACTTGCCTTGCTGTTAGACAAATACATGGTATGATTTTTACTTACACAAAATGTAGTTTCAGTTTTCCAGACCGTATAATCCTATACACCTTTTCAGTCAGCATAGTCTCATATAAACATTTGTTTTTATACATTCAATGACTCTACATGTGCTTCACTTGAGAAAAAAATAGCTCACTTAAAAGTCATGATTTACACCTTAAATAAAACCAAAATCCCCACTGCAACATTATACATTACATACATACTATAAAACATTGGTAGCAACATAAATTTCTGTATATAATAAACTGATTAAATAAATTATAATAAACATAATGAGACATTATATAGTTTAAAATGAGAAAGATATATGAAGTAATATCCTTTATCTTTAGAATATGATATAAATTTAAAAGTGTACAATCAAAGATTAGATACAGAGTGATATCTTTTCTATAAGAAGGAAAGTAAAAAGAATTTTACTTGTATATGCTTATTAAAAATAAATGAATAAATGCATTAGAAACTAATAAAAGTGGTTCCTGGATTAAAAAACTAAATGGAATGAAGGAGTGGTGGCACTTCTCTGAGAACTTTTTACAGAACTTCGACTCTTAAAAAAAGTGTTTTTCTTTTAAGTAAAATAAACAAAGGTGATTGGGGGTAGAATACAATCAGGAACAACAGAACGTAGCTGTATAGGTTAAAGCAAATAAGATGACAAGCACACACAAAAAAAGACAGTGCTTTCAGAAAATAAGCTTTTAAGCAAAAGCAGGCCTTTGGTTATAGAACCCTGTTCTAAACACCTAAACAAATAAATATTGAACTTCGGTGAGAAAGATTCTTTTCCCAGCAGTGCAAGTTGGAGAACAGCACAACTGAAAAAAAAAAGATAGATACCCTGGGGATGAGAAAGGAGTTTACATAAGGAAGGAAGACTAGAATTTACTCAGTAGTGTTGAATTACAAGTGGTTACCAGTATTAGTTCTCTCTCTCTCTCTCTCTCTCTCTCTCTCTCTCTCTCTCTCTCTCTCTCTCTCCCTCCCTCTCTCCCTTTCTCTGTCTCTCTCTCCCTCCCTTTCTCCTTCTCTTTCCTCTCTTCCTTTTCTTCCCCTCTCTCCCTCTCTCCTCCCTGTCCACCACCTATAATGTGTGTGTGTGTGTGTGTGTGTGTGTGTGTGTGTGTGTGTGTGTACTCTATCCACTAAAAAGAGCCTAGATGCAAATATATGCCCAAGCAATGAGCATACCTAACATCTAGACCTTAGTCTCTTTAATTCATTCACATCCTGAAATGACTGGCAAACTTGAAGAAATTATCATTGGTTCTAGGACGGGGGTATCTTTTTATGTACCAGCTAACAAGGAAACAGAGAAAACTATGAGAAAGTATGCAAGGGACATTGAGTTTAATCTTTGACAATTTGAACACCAAAATAAATGATAGAATAAGATGTTTCTGGAACAAAATAAGAATATTCGCAGGCAACTGTTTAAGGGAACAATCAAATGATAAAAGGGAATCTTTGTATTGTGGAAAAATACCAACAAATAGCAAAAACAAACTATGGGATTAGAAAAAGATCTTTTTTTTTTAAATAAGAACACTGCTGGTCCAGACACAATCATTAGTACATGGTAAAGCTAGATAGTAAGTTTTGATTAAAACCAGCAACTGAAGTAGGAGGGAAATGAAGTGTATCTATCACACAGAGAGCAGTAACTATAGCCCACAAATCTAGTGACTTCTGTTCTACCTGAGTAATAAACACAGCAATGTGACAGGTAAACTCCATTTTCCTCTTATCCCTGTATTAGTTAGTTACCTGAGAGAAAAGCTTAAGTGAGAAAAGCTTTTTTTGGCTCCCAGTTTCAGAGGGTTCAGTCCATGGTTGCTTGACCTTATGGATGGAACATCATTGACCTCATGTGTTTGGGTGGAACATCATCAGTCTCATGTGTTTGAGTAGAACATCATTGGCCTCATGTGTTTGGGTGGAACATCATTGGCCTCATGTGTTTGGATGGAACATCATTGGTCTCATGTGTTTGGGTGAAACATCATTGGCCTCATGTGT